CCCCCCAACCCTCGGTATTGCCTTACCTTATTTACACCCATATAACTCTACCCTCATCGTGATATGGCTGGACCATGTCTTTGGTCGTATCCTGATGTACCTCGCAATGATAGCAGGATTGACATCGTTCTTAACAACAGTGCTCCTGTCGCTGTTTCCTGAGAAGATCTTCCCTTTCTCGTAGTCTTCATAGGTGCTGTTATCTACACTATATTGCAGGCCGTAGCTTTTGACCCATTCGTCCTGTAATGGGCCCCCTTGGGTTACAACCCCTGTCACCTTAGCAAGGGTGCCTAGATCGACTTGAAACCACTGATTGACATCAAGAGTCTTGGATGCCCATGCTCCACGGCTATACACACCGTTTGGTACAAAGTTAAGTCTCCCGGCGGCTGGTAGGAACCAGTCTGAGAAAATGCTTGAGGCTGTAAGCTGTTGGTTTGGAATTGTCCTGTCTTCGATTCCAAGTGAGGAACTAGTATTGCAACTAACTGAAAAGATAAATATGAATAAGTAAAAATCAGCGTTTTTACGACTTGAATACACCTTAAGCAAATGGAAAAGAAATATTTATTTTCACACATTTCTTGAAGTCATATAATAACCAGCATTATATAGACCCTATGAATAAAGCCATGCGCAGGGAATACTTCTTTATACTCAGTTATTGCAGTCATAATAACCAGCATTATATAGACCCTTTGAATAAAGCCATGCACAAGGAATACTTCTTTACACTCAGCCAGTGCAGTCATAATAACCAGCATTATATAGACCCTATGAATAAAGCCATGCTCAAGGAATACTTCTTTACACTCAGTTATTGCAGTCATAATAACCAGCATTATATAGACCCTATGAATAAAGCCATGCTCAAGGAATACTTCTTCACACTCAGTTATTGCAGTCATAANTGCTCAAGGAATACTTCTTCACACTCAGTTATTGCAGTCATAAATAACCAGCATTATATAGACCCTATGAATAAAGCCATGCTCAAGGAATACTTAAATTACTTACGGTTTTCGCATTCTTTGCCGGCGAACCTTTGTCTGCAGTGGCAGCGATAGTCGTTAACCAGCGTTATGCAAACACCGCCATTCTTGCATCTGGGAATGGCACACATACCCTATAAAAATAATATATTTAGTCTGGTGGTTAGGCGTTTTACACTAAATAATTTTCATTAAGAATCTATGTAAAAAAGAGACGAGMTGAGATGATAGCTGGAGTCTTACGCTTCCATCGTGCTCTCCTAACTATCCGCATGCACCATCAATACTAGATTTACCCACGCTTAGAATTGACCATTGCTTAAATTTTGTCTGTTGCCACGAAATTTCGAATTTGTCTGGTTTTTACGGACAGCCGCTCTTAAGCAGCTGTAGTTAAAGCTGGTGTCGTAAATTTTTAAGAAAAAAAAACACTTTCCGATATTTTTCGATTTTGATTGTGATTGGTCGACTGGTTTGATTATTTGAATGCTGAAAGAGGCGTCCATAATTTAAACGACGTTTAGCAGAAAATCCAACGAAAGGAAAAAAATAAAACAGAAATAAATTAAATAAATGAAAAGCAAAATTGGAACAAAAAGTTATTAGAAAGGAAAAAATATATATAAAAAGAAAGAGACACCGCTTTATCATGAGTAAACAAACAACGTACGTGTTAGTTTACATGAAACAGTTTTAGAGGAGTTTTAAAGACTGCAATAACTGTGCATATTGCTACCCCACAAATCACAATCACGAGTGAGGATCTTAGTGTACCTCCGAGCTGAGATCAGACCGTTGTACCAGGTGACAATCCCTTACTCTTGTGAGCAGGTTATCACTGAGTGAAGATACTCCGGATTTTTATGCAAAGAAGACATAATAACATAACATTTCAAAATATTACCGCAAAGGCAGCACCTTAAGTCTTGTCAGTCATTTTAAACAACAAAATGACGCCCTTTACTAACTCAACAACCGCGTGGCGGTTAAAGGGGAGAGATTCCTTAAGGTCCTATTCTAGGGTTTATCAAAAACAATTATAATGAATTTATATTAAAATATAAAAAGTATTTGCATCAAAACGAACTCACCTCTGCGAAGCGTCGCAAGTGGTAATGATAGATCTGAGATAGCATTAAGAGCCCGGAAGAAGGCATTGCTAACTCTCTTAGAAGAATGCATTCCAACAAACCATCTTGCTTCTTTTGATCAGCGATGTTCATTGACAAACATTCTGGCAAACGTGAGCAAGTAATGAAGCAGTCAATGTCATCTTCAACGAAAATCGTTTGAATTACATTTCCCAACTCAAACTTCCTGAATGGAAGTTTATCAAMATACGGTCCTTCAGAACATCCACTTTCGCAGAAGCGAATAAAGAATGAGACCAAAAGACTCAAAAACGCGATTTGACTTTCAAAAACCATTGGTTTTGTGATTCTTTAGCGAATAATTCTTTCCAAGCTGAAACACAGAACTTGATGGATGCGTCTTGCTCTAACTAGAATTGAAATGAGGTTTCATTAATTTATATTAAGCCATACGTATAACTTGTTTACTAATAATGTGATTTGAACAATTATTCTTTTCGAGTGTATTAGCGAATAAGTAACTATTTATGCGGACATTCTTTTTGTTTTTTCTGACTTTCTTTCAGAAATTTTAGTTAAATTCAATATTTTCACTAAGTATCTTGATATTAATAGTTCCTTGAAGCGATGGTCTTTATTTGTGGTGAAGAGAACTGTGGGCGATAGCAGCGGCTGCCTTTTATACCAAGTAATGAAATAGCTCGGCCTAGCTTTGAAAGGGCTTACCCTTTGAAGATATACACCTACTTGCAAGAACGAAAACAAAAAACAAAAAACAAACTTGCAAGAACGTTGTCATACGATATTAAATTAGTAATTTAGTGAGAAAGGAATACATTAAAAGACAAGAGAAAAAGTTCAGCTTCAGTGATCTTCTTTTAATATAATTCTTATCCCACTAAATCACTAATGTTCTATTTTCGTATGACAATGTTCTTGCAAGTAGGTGTATAAAGTCATTTGTCCTCCTAGCAATAAAAAAAATTGCTAGCTCTTCTATCGATAATCGAGGATAACTACATTATGTACAGCTACAGCTATTTCATAAAAGATTGAATACTGAATAATGAATACTAAAAAGTGCATTGTGGGTCATATATTTAATTTTCATTTCAAATTAACGAGACCCTCAATGACCTTTGGTTTTGGAATGCACTACTCAGTATGCAGTATAATACGAATACATATCATTTTAAAAACAATAAGAAGAGATAGAAGAGAAAGAAAGGAAAACCGCGAAAAAGATGAGAATAAACGAACGAAGAAAAGAACGAGATAAAAAAGGTCTGAAATATATAATTAAAGAACGCAATATTCTTCTAAATTTATTTTTTTACAAGTATGCTTATTGAATGTGGATGACGCTGTTCTAATGCACGTTGTCCTAAAAACCATTTTAATTAAGGACTGCTACCAGTAAAAACAGCACAGTAAGAGGTGAAGATTATTATGATATAGCATTTATTGAAGGGACATATTTCGTGTTCTTTGAATTTGAGAGAGTGGAAGTGATTATGTTACAACCATGTGCTATAGTAAGAATGGCGTGACAGCTAGCGATCATATTACGTGATYGATATAGTATTACTATTACAAAAATTTCAATTAAAGAGGAAAAATAGTGAATGCGACGTACGTATGTCAAGGAATTACTTATGTTGATTCAGACTTCCATTAAACGAAGGACAGCTACCAGTAAAAACAGCACAGTAAGAGGCGAAGAAAATCAATAACAGAGATTGAAGGAAATTACAAATAACCAAAATATTTTATTTTTCCTTCACTCTTTCTTTCTTTCTTTCTTTCTTTCTTTCTTTCTTTCTTTCTTTCTTT